ACCCAATGGTAGTTGCCAATTCCTTTTGGGGGAAAAGCAAAGGAGGTGGTCTGTAGATACTTCCAAGACCCCAGAGGTATGCCCCTCTTGTCTAGGGGAACAGGAAAAGCTTGGCCACTCACTTGGTGCTTTCCCCAGAATGCCCCAGGGCAGAAACAGTGGTATGAGACTCAGGAGAGGCATCCTAGCGTGGAGTGGAAAGCAAGAGTTAGCATACCTAAGGCTGCAGAGGTGGGAAACTTGCTAGGATGTGTGTGTCATTTAGCATCTCCATAGCCCAAAGGACAGGACCTCATCCAATGTCTTCTCTCCCTGGTCCACCGGCCTGTCTGCTCTGGCTCAGGCACCCTCTTCCTGTGGATGTATTGGCCCAGCTTCAACTCAGCTGTGTCCAACCACGGGGATGCCCAGCACCGGGCTGTCATCAACACCTACTGCTCCCTGGCAGCCTGCGTGCTCACCACGGTGGCACTGTCCAGTGCCCTGCAGAAGAAGGGCAAGCTTGACATGGTGAGCAGGGAAGGGGGACTATCAGAGGGATTTGCAGGGAGGTATGGGGTCCCTATGGGTCAGGATCGGCTCGTTAGCAGTGGATTTGGTTTGGGGTGTTTTTGTGTATCTCTGAGTTGGAATCGAGTGGCTAGTGGTGAGTTTCATGGTTATGACTCCCTGTGCCTGAGGGCAGTAGGCACAAATCACCATGCCCTACCAACAGCTTTGTGAGGGAGTGTCAACACTGTCAGTGTGCAGATGAAGACACTGAGCCAGCCTTGGGAAAAAATAATCTTCCCAAGTGATTACCTGGTTTTGGTCAGAGCCCAGAATCAGCTCGTGGAAGGTTCTTATGGTGATTAAGGTTGTATGTCAACTTGGCTGGACTGATTTTCAACTGATAAGCTCATAGCAGGTCTCACCGTGGAAAATAGTATATCAGATCTCATCATGGAGATGACTACATTATCATATACTGTCAAATGACATCATAACTGCCAAAATAAAGGGCTGAAAATAAGTATCCTTGGGATTGAGCCCTGCATCCGGGGTATAGGGACATTCTGGGAAAGTTTTCTGACTTTTTGCTCAACCCAGCTCATCAACTGATTGTCATTCTTGGACTTGAGCCAGTAGCCTGCCATATTGCCTGCTGATCTTGGGATTCACTACAGAGGTGGTGCTGGAGAAGAATACTGAATGTACCACGGACAAACCCATCTGTGTCGGAAGAAGTAAGGCCAGAGTGCTCCTGAGAGTCAAGGATGGCAAGACGCCATCTCACATTCTCTGGACGTGTTGTCAGGAGAGACTCGTCCCTGGGGAAGGACATCGTGTTTGGTAAAGGGCAGGGGGAGTGAAGGAGGGGAAGGGCCTCGATGGGTGGCTGCATCAGTGGGCTCAGCACAGGAACCATTGTGAGGATGGTGCAGGACAGTGCCGCACTTCCTTCTGTGATGCACACGGTCACTATGGTTTGGAGCCAACTGATGGCACCTAGCAAGAACAGCAGCCACCATAGCCTGTGAGCCAGCAGCCGGTTATTTTATCTGCAAATCTTGAGTTTGTCAGCCCTTGCAGCACGTGAATCAGGAGACGTCTCCTCCCTCTTCCACATGAGCCATTTTCTTGAGAGACATCTATGAGAAAGTAAATTAAAAAGTTGTGATTAGGTGCTGTGCTAGGCTGAATATTCTAGAGAAACAAAACCAGTGATGCTCCTATCTATGTAAGAAAAGGCTTTCTATCAAGAAAGTGACCCACCCTAGGCCAACGCAAGTTCGTGGGTCCCCTGCTGACCAGAAGCCTCTGTAGCCTCACGTGACTGCCAGTGAGGGAAGCAGGAAGGTGAAGTGGAATGCTGGGAGTTCACAGGCTGGTGGGTAGAGCTGATGTCTTCACTTAAAAGATGTAACTGAGGCTTGGGCATGTTTTGGGTTGTACATGCATTAGCGGTACCATGTATAAACACAAACATGGCTTTATAATTGTCTTCAGAGATTACATGTGGCTTAAGGGGATGTATACAGGTTCCACACTGACAAAAGGTAGACTTCAGTGGTTGTGGGTCAACTTGGCTGGACCATGTCGCTCAGAGGTTTGACCGTTAGGACGTAATTTGGCAGTTACATGTTGATGATGAGAAAGTTATCCCTGTGATGTGATCTGAACTAACGTGATCATCTTCATGATGAGACAGATCTTTGATGAGCAGCTAATCAGCTGAAACTGAGTTTTCTCAAAGGTTTGGCGTGCATCCAGCCATATAGGTGGACTTTCTGGCAAAACCCTGGCCAGTTGCTTGATCTGGAGCCTGTATCTGTCTTGTCATTATCGACTCTCCAATTCTTTGGACACTGCCCTGGGAATCATTAACCTCTTTGTCCAGCAGTCTACCATCTTACTTACAGATCTTGGGTTGGTCGGCCCCTGCAGCTACATGAGGCCAGGGAAGCCCCTGGCCTGAAGACTGACCCACAGCTTGGAACTTGCCAGCTTCTACTACCACATGAGCCGTGTCCTTGAGAGAAATAAATCTCGTATATTTAAAGGAACTTCCAAAAGTTGGCGGAAAAATTCTATCACCTTTTAATTCAGTTCTTTCACCAACTTTTAGAAGCCCCCTCATAGACATACGAACTTCATTGGTTTTGCCTCTCTAGAGAACCCAGCCTCATGAGTTCTGCAGCTCAGAATTGAGCTGGATGAACCGGATGCTCTTCTCCTTGGGTCTCCTCCCTGAGGCGCTAACAGCTGTTCTGTGCTGAGCCTGCCCTGCAGGGTAGCCCAGAAAGTGCTGTGAAGCAGCTAATGCAGACTTCCTCCCAGCCTGCTCCTCAGGCTCCCAGGCCTCTTAAAGCTGCCCCACTTGCCCCATCGCACACACTTGGGGCAGGGAAAGTTTTGGAGCCTTTCTGCTCTCGTGGGGAGGTTTGGGGGTTATGGCATTGCATGCCAGGGGAACAGCTATCTCTGTCACTCATGGGGAACAGCCAAACCCCATGGGTGCTGGTAGATTCTTCCAAAAAGCAAAGCAAAGACATCAACCCTCTGTCTAATAATTGATGCCATATGTTGTCATGGGCAGATGACTGCAGTGTGCTGATGTCCTGCCAAAGGCACCTGATCTCTGGGAGCCCTGCTGTGCACCCCTGGATGACCTCAATGCAGACATGCAGGCCTTGCAGAGAGCTGGAAATGGACGGAAACACACGTGCGGGATGGGGAGATGCAGGCACACTGGCATGGGCACACCTGGGTGCATCCTACACCCACCTGCAGGGAGGACCTTGGCCTAGTGTCTAGGACAGTTCTGAGTCTGCAGCAAAACACCCTTCTGCTTGCTTGTGGCATCATGTCCTGTGGCCTCTCTGTGCCACGCTCTTCTCACCTGTAAACTTCAAAAGAGAACTGGGCTTCCCCCATGGGGTTCTGTTGAGACTGAGCAAAAGAAACCCCAGCAGCCAGCAGCCCAGGGAGAGTCATCTGATGCCGCTGGCGTTTGGAGATGCTCAGGGCTCTCTGACGTGGTACACCATACTATGGGGGACCATGTGCCTGCCCTGGGCCCACATGCACATTGAGGACACTGGGTCGTGCCTCCAGGGCCCACAGTACATACGGCCCATATACAGAATGGGAGCAAGCACGTGTACGGCCAGGCCCACAGGTATATGGAGTGCATGTGTGCTCCTCTGTGGGCCTGTGTTCGTGTGGGAAATGCCAGGGTGCCTGCGTGGTGCTCGTGTACACTGGGGCAGCTGTACTGAGCCCAGGTCCTTGGCATGCTCCTGGCTGGTGGAGGGGACAGGACTCGGGCCCTCGAGGATGGGGCAGCGCAGGCAGATGCTCCAGGCAGAGGACTGAGTCCCGGCCCCCACCCCACCTCCCCCCAGGAGCACATCCAGAATGCCACGCTGGCGGGAGGCGTGGCTGTGGGCACTGCTGCTGAGATGATGCTCATGCCCTATGGCTCCCTCATCGTGGGCTTCTTCAGTGGCATCGTCTCCACGCTGGGCTTCGTGTACCTGACGGTGAGGGGCCTGGGGGAGGACCCAGGGACTGGAACGTGCTGACAGGGACTCAAAGGGCTCGTTGGGGTGGGGCAGGGAGCTGGAAACCCCTGGGCCTCTGCATTTGAGAGCCCTCCGAATCCTGGCCTCCCAACACCCCGCCACAGCCTCCGGGCCTGAGCAGCACCGACCTCCCCTCCTCCAGCCTTTCATGGAGACCCACATGCACATCCAGGACACGTGTGGCATTCACAGCCTACATGGCATGCCCGGCCTCATCGGGGGCATCGTGGGTGCCGTGACAGCAGCCACAGCCAGCTCTGAAGTGTATGGGCACCAAGGGTGAGTGTGGGGACCTACAGGGGTGCAGGGGAGGTTGCACCCCCTTGCTGCTTCTCCACCCCTCCTTCCTCCATCTCCTGTCTTCTCCACTATGGCCTACAGGCCTCTCCACAGTACCTGATCCGGCAGGACTCCCATTTCACAGATGGGAAGGGCGAGGCCCATGGTCAGGAAGTTTGTGGCCATGATGCCCACTCATCTTTGTGGAAGCAACAATGGCAACTTGCTTCTCTATGGGGCCCTGACCTGCCCCTGTCTCCACCCCAGGCTTGCTCATGCCTTTGACTTTGAAGGGGCCAACAAAAACAGGACCACATACCTTCAGGGCAGCTACCAGGCCGCTGGCATCTTTGTGTCCATAGCCGTGGCCCTGGTGGGCGGCAGTGTGGTGGGTGAGTAGGGGTGGCTGGACTGAAGAGGTGAGGGGGGGGGCACCTGCACTCCTGGTGGGGGACTGGGGGTTCCCACCTCAGCCCAGGAACTCTGAAGGGCTTCTCCGGGGTGCTGTGCCCTGACCGCTGTGCTCTTCAACTTTCATTAGGAGCCATTCTGAAACTGCCATTCTGGGGACAGCCTGCCACGGAGAACTGCTTTGAGGATCACGTCTACTGGGAGGTGAGCTCTACAGAGCTGGCGGGACCTGGGCCCCAGGGCCCGGAGCACAGCCTGTGTTATCCCGCACCTGTGAGAGACCGAGCCTCCTGGGGCTGAAGGTTCCTCCCAGGGCTTGGAGGGAGTGGGGTGCACTGCCCCCGTTCTTCACACCCTGCAGACTGAGAGGCAACCCACAGCCAGGACGGCAGCTGCAGTTCATTTGTGTCCCTAAAGACCTCAGCGTTCAGGTGAAACTCTGAACCAGTGATTCCCAAAGTGGGGTCCCCAGACCAGCAGCAGCAGCAGCACCTGGGAACTTGCTGCTGTTGGGCACCATGGAGCTGGTTCTGACTCACGGCCACCCTCTGCACACAGCCACGGCGGCAGGCCCCAGGCCTGCAGCATCCTCAGCATGGTCTGCTGTGCTGGAGCCACTGTGCCAGTCCGTCTCGTCAGGGCCATCCCCTTTCCCACTGCCCTTCTACTTGACCACACATGCTGTCCTTTTGCAGGGACCGGCCTCTCCTGATAACACAGTCAAAGTAGGTGAGACGAAGTGTCAATAGCTGTGGCTCTGCTTATACTGCGGTGGCTCGCATGTTTCTGGGATGCTAGAGAGTGTGACACTGGTAGGTATTTCAAATACCACAGGGTCACCCGTGGTGAACAAGGTTCAGCGGAGCTTCCAGACTAAGAACAGGATAGAAAAGCACCTCTTAGGAATTCGAATCCCCTGCTCTTTGCCCCTACTGTCAGGCTCAGGCAATTCCAAACGCAGAGGCAGGCCTCAGCACCTGGTTTTAATGTATCCTTCAGGTGATGTTGAGGGAAAAGCCTCTTCCGGCCACTGTCCTGTCATTCCTGAGTGCACACAGTCATTGCCTCGGGAACCTGAAACCACTCAAGCCCAGGCCTCAGCCGCTCGGCGGCAAGGCCTGGGCATAAGCTTCTGGGTGATTCTAATCTGGGTAAACACCTGGACTAAGAACCACAGCGCAGGACCCGGCTTCAGTCTTCCAGAGAACAAGCTGGAGACCTAGTGAAAGTAGAGCCACCCAGGGGCTTCTCCAGAGATTGGAATTCAGGAGAGTCTGGCACTCTGAAAGTGAGAAGCCCCTGGGTGACTTTGGTCCAGAAACAGGGTGCTGTGATGACCTCTACTTTGGGTTTCCGGTTCTGGAAGCTGAGTGTAGTGGAATGTCAGATGCTTTGAAAATATGACAAGTGGGGCTTTCTGTGACCTGAGCCCTGCTTGCGCTGTCAGGTAAGCAATGGACCACAAGGATGGCAGTTCAAATCTACCTGCCAATCCACAGGAAAAAAATGAGGCTGCCAGCTCCCATGACCTCCGTGAGTTGGAATCAGCTAGATGGCAGCGATGTGGTGTTTTGTTTGGAGACTTTAGCCAGACCTCCCTCCCAGGCATAATTTGGGGAGGGTTTTACCTGCATTGGATGGGATGGGAGGTGATGACTGAGACCCCTCTGGCCTTTTGCAGGCTCCCTCAGGCTGAGCAGAGGCCTGGTGTGTGGACTCCTGGGACAAAAGACCACCATCAGCACCTTTCACTTGTCTCAGTCGCCTCTTCCTTTTTTTTTTGAGGTCCCCTAGTGGCACAATGGTGAAGCGCTAACTCAAAGGTTGGTAGTTTGAACTCCAGCCCCCGACACACTGCATGGAAGAGAGGCCTGGTGTCCTGTTCCTGTAAAGAGTCTCAAAAACTAAACTCGCTGCCGTTGAGTCAGACTCGTGTGGGCTCCTAAGACAGCAACCGCAGACGGGACTAGGAAGCCCAGTCTTTCTTTCACAGAGCTGCGGGTGGCTTTGAACTGCTGACCACGGGGATCACCGCCCAATGCGTAATCACTACGCTACCAGGGCTGCATAGGATCTTGGCCTAGAAGACCCTATGGGATAGTCCTCCACTGTCACATGGGGTCTCTGTGAGCCGAAAAGCACTTCAATGGTACCAAATCTATCACCTAGCCTCCGGCACTGTTAAGTAGTTTGGGTATATTGTTTATTTCTAGTCTTACGCCCTACCCCCCACCCTCGGCATAAACTTTCTTCCACAGTTGAGCTCTGTGATGTCCAATTTGGTGTCCTGCTCTTTCTCTGACACCTGTCTCAAGACTCCTGCGTTCTTACCTTCGTAACACAGGTGTGCTTGGCCCATTCTTTTCATTCGTGTCTCAGGTACTGAGACACCGCAGTGAGCACCACGTGGATGGACTGCTGGTGACATAAACCCTACAATGTTTTTGGTTTCCATACAGAGCAGCTCACTCTCTCTTGGCTCTGTTGTGATCTTTATCTTTTCGTCCAATATCACACTTTCTCTCCGCTCTGCCGTGCAGCAGTGCTTGGTGGGGATCAATATAATTCCACGTTAGTGAAAGTTAAAGGGGTATTGGTGGGACTGTGGCGTAATCACTGGGATACTAACCACAAAGTTTTCTGCTCCATAGAGGTACGGACTCAGAAACCCACAGGGACAGTTCTGCCCGGTCCTGTAGGGTCACTATGAGTCAGAATGGACTGCAGGGCAGTGAGTTTGCCCGGCACCACAGCATGCAATCTGCACAGTGGTCAAAAGGTGGCGCCCGCTACACACCGTTTGCTGCTCCTGGCTGACCTGACCCAGGTCGGGGTACTACTCCCGCTTTGGGCAGGGTCCCTTGTAACTGCCCCCTGTCTCTGCAGCTGCCTGAGGAACGGGAGAACACCTACCGCCCCGAGGACCCTGCGCTCAAGCCGGTGACCCCTTGAACTTGTAGGCGTGGCGAGAGGCAGGTGAGTATAGACTTGACCGAGAGGCAGGTGAGTATAGACTTGACCTGTCTGCATGGAGTTGAAGGGCAGGTACTCCGAAGCAGGGGCCCAATTGTAGGAATCAGTTGTCCCCAGCAAAAGGGCAAAAAGAAGGTTGTTCAACACGGTGAATGTCATCAGTGCCACTGACTTGGACACTGAAAAATGTCAAACCTGCATTAGTAGTATTTTACCATAATAACACTAGCAGGAAGAGTGAGAAAATCAATAGTGACCTGTAAGCTTGCACACTCCTGCTTAGGGTGGATCGGGCGTGCTGGGTTGGGGGAGAAGCCCATGATGTGGTGGAAGGCATGTGAAACTGACCACTAACCAATTAGGAAGTAAGCACAAGTAAACCTGTGCTTGCCTCACTTACTGGGCAATCCAACACTGAATATGGGGCAGGAGCATTGGACTAGGAGCAACAGATGGAAGTAGGCCTGAGTAGATACCTGGCTGTGTGACTTTAAGAATTCCCATCACTTCAGAGACTGAGCCTCGGTTTCCTCATCTATAAAAACGGAGATGGCCACTCTGGCTGGTTCTATTCTATTGCTCAACTTAGGCAAGAACTTGCTCTCCCCTCCTTCCCTCCCTTTGCCTCAGTGGTTACACGTTGGACTGAGATCTGCAAGGTCAGTAGTTTGAAACCACCATCCACTCCTTGGGAGAAAGACGGGGCTTTCCAGTGCCATAAACAGAGTCTGGAAAACCCCCGGGGGCAGGTTTACCCTGTCCTACAAGGTCACTATGAGTTGGCATCAACTCAGGGACAGTGAAAAACATTGGTTTTAGGAGCCCTGGTGGCCTCCTTGGATGGATAAAGCGTTAGACTGCTAACCAATGGTTGGTGGTTGAAACCCATCAGCTGCTCCTCAGGAAGAAGATGAAGCTACTGTCTGCTCTGGTAAAGATGTACAGCTCGGGATGCTCTGCATAGGGTCGCCAAGAGTCAGAATAGACTTGGTGGCCATGGGTTTGTTTAACATGTCTTGGCCTCCTCTCCAAGCCCTTTCCCGTGTTGTGTTCATCTAGCCCTTCCAAGAACTCTGCAAACCACAGCCAACGCTGTTACCACCAAGTTGATTTTGACACATGGGAACCCCCTGTGCTTTAGGCCTGCTCTAAAGAGTGTTCTTGGCTGTGGTCTTTATGGCAGCAGATCCCCAGGTTTTCTTCCAAGGTGACACTGAGTTAGCACCACCAATGTTCGGGTTAGGAGCTGAGCTCAAACCATTTGCACCACCCAGGAACCTCTTAGAGGCCTGAGTGATTATTCTCCCATGTTAAGAGACTCTGTTGGCAGATGGCAGAAGTGGGATCTGGACCCAGGTTATTGTCATTGCTCTGTGAGCCATTACTTGACCTCCATGGAGGCCAGAGTGTGGAGACAGTTGGGTCTGGAGCGAGAGGCTGAGCCATGTGGCAGGGAAGTGCTGCTAACTCCCACCCCATTCAGTAAAAGCTACAGTGGGATGCAGCAGTGGTAGACTGCTCCTGGCTCTCTCCCTCAGGCTCCGTGGATGGCCCCCAGCCTGCGGCAGCTGCTGACACTGACCTGGCTGGGAATAGACAAGCAAGGCTGGCAGCACCCTGCTGGCAGTCCAAGACTCCTCTCCTGCCCATCCTCCAAGGAGGCCTGCCTGGGACTGCAGGAGGAGGAACTGCGGCTACAGTGGGTGTCCAGGTCAGGTGTTATCCAGGATCTAGGTGACCGCATCCTGACGGTGGCAGCCCAGGAGTGGGGCTGGGGCTTAGAACTAAGTCCTAGGAGGGGACAACTCAGTTGCCAGTCACTGCTTGCTGGGCTCTTCCACCCCGTCTGCCCCTGCAATGAGCACTGCCCATCTTCTGTGCCGTACAGATGACAGCCTCCCTGAATAAAGGCCTTGAGCTCTTTGTAGAATGAGTGTGAATGGTCCAGTAGCACCAGTTTGGAGGACAGGAGAACCCAAGACACCTGGCCTCCTGCCCCAGCCCTGAACCCCCGGCCTCTACCCCCACACACACACATACACACGCTCACACGCGCGCGCACTGTCACCCATCCCAGGCTCAGAAGAACCCGGGAGCTTGAGTTCCTTAAGCAAGGCTCCTCTGTATCTTGTGAAGGGCTCCCACCAGTGACTGCAGTCCCAGGGGAGCTGAGTTTCCAAGAGATGAGGAGCAACCATCCAACCCTGGACCCTCACCCATTATGGGATTCGCCATATCTGCAGTGCCCACTTTGTGGCCCTGTGCCTAATTCAAAGGGCCTTCTGGAAGGATGAGGGCAGGGGTGATTCCTGAGGGCTATAGTCCCTCACCCCCAGCCCTTCTTCCCTCCCTGCCAACACACCCTGGTCTCCCTCTACAGTGGTACAAGACTTAAGAGCCCTATCTACCATCACCGAGCCCAGACTCTATGCCTGCTACTGCCCTGCGCAGAGCGACACGCACCTCCTGTCCTCGGTCCAGCTGAGAGCAGCTATGACACTCAATATCCACCTGAACTCTACCAGATGTGGCTGGAGAGGTAGTCTGTGCCCAGGTGGCACCTCAAAGCATGGCCATGTGAGCAGGGCTTTGGAGGCTGAATAGGAGTTTGGGATGGCGAAGACACGGGGATTAGAGTGGGGAGGTTTGGTATGACTAGAAGTGAGGCAAAAGCATGACAGCTAGGCAGTAAGAGAATAAGGCGGAGAACAAGATACACAAGCCGATCCTTTGTGGAGCAAAGACTCCTGGGAAGCCGAGGTGAGAGGGAAACGGGGAAGTCTCCCCTGCCTCCACCCTTCCCATCCCCCCAAGGGGGCCTCTCAGTTCACCAGCACAAGCACACTCAGGGCTTCCCATCCTCTCCCCAGAGCCGGCCAGCAGAGGGGAGGGGGAGCTGAAATGCAACCTATTCATGTTCGCCCGCGAAGTAACACCCCTCATTTTCCACGCTGGGTAAAGACAAAAACCCTTTACAACCTGTTTCTGGAACTTGTCAGCAGCTGCCAAGAGGAGCGTGTTAATTAAACGTCGGCAAAGATGGAAGCCAGAAGCCCCGGCTCTAATTGGACAGTTTGCTTCCCCGATTGAAAAACATTGTGACAAAGGAGGAGGGGCGCGGCCGCGCGGCAGGGGCGCGGCGTGGCGGGCAGGGGCGCGGCGGC